TGGATTGTAAAGATCAAATGGATTTACTGAAATGCTTTGATGACAATGCCGATTGTAATGCTGATGCTGATCCATCAGGCGAGCAAAGTGATGTGATGATTGCCGATTCTGATGAGCTGGCTGAGAAAAAGCTAAAGGCTGTGGAAGAAGAGGAGGCCAAGCAGGCTGCTTTGGAAGCGTTGAGCAAAGGCCAAAAGTTGCCAAACGAAGACAAGATCTTAGCCGAGCTTGATATTGAACTGGCTGCCTTTATGGAAGAACACAAGAATCGCGTGGGACCGATCCCGCTGGAGCCAGAGTTGATCAACTCCATCGAAGAGTACATCGCCGAGTTAAAGGCTGAAGTGGCTAGTCGTCCTCCAGTGAAGCTTGAGGAAGATCCGCGCAAGTACGAGCGAAACGCTGGGAATGATCCTAGTTTTGTCAACATCCCAGTGTACGATCCAAATGATCCAAAGTATCGTGACATTGCCGCCACCATTCAGCGTCATATTGAAGAGGCGGAGAAACTTAAGAAATCTGCCAAGTGATCTCCCTTTTGCTATTGATTTCAAGTTATAATTCAACTGAATATTTTTTCTTATTCTACAAACTATTAAAAGTACATTTAAACATATACAAATGAAGCAAATTAATACAACTTTTTTGCTTTTAGGTACACAGGCTTATTCGGATCTACATCCTTGTACTCTGCAGTGTTGCTACTCGTCTCAGGAACTGCTTTTGGCGTCAGTGCATATGGATGAAGTGAACCGGAGAAGACAATCTTTCCATTTGTGTCAATGGCAAAGTCATAATCAGTTTGATGAGTGAGAACCTCTTCGATATATGCATCTAAATTGTCCTTTGTAATGTACGTTTTTGATCGCTCAATCTCTCGCCGAACAACAATATCCAACTCCTCGCCTAACCGTTTGTTTTCCTCGTCCGCTTGAATTTTCAGTGCAATCAGCTGAGCTTCTTTGTCAGCAGTAAATTCTTTTAATCTTTCTTCTCTCATTTTCGCAATCTTTTCATTTTCTCTATTGTTCTCTGCGATCAGTTGTTTCTGTTCCTCCTCTTCTTGGACGACATCCTCATGTGCCATTCCGCCGGCTTCAAGTGTAGGTAAGTAGAACTCTTTTTCGAGAAATTGCTTTATTGACTTCATGTTGATTGCATATGTTTCAGTGAGATGGTTTCGTTGAGCCTGCTCCTCAGCAGAAAGTTGTTCTGGTTTTCTGATTCGATACAATTTTGAAGGCGCCGTAGGTTGCCAAATTGGCTTGCGTAAAGGTTCTTTACGTTTGTGCTTCAAGTTGAAGCGAACAAACTGCCAGTTTGTTCGTGTTAAAGACTTGCTCGCTTTCAATAAACTTCCCCCGCATGAGAGAGGCAGCATTGTAGTAATATCTGCAAAAGAATACCTTGTGTAATCATCTAATTAGATCAAATCAGTGCATTTTATTTACCTTCGAAATTCACGTGTTTTGATTATTTCGGCAATTTTCAATGAATCAAGTCCAGAATCTTTTGATGTGAAAATAGACATCACGAAATACGCTCATTCAATACCAGATGGCGCATGACATAATATCGCAATTTATTTTCAAAAATTGATCTTGGCAATTTTTAACTTTTTTCTAAACGATAAACATTATTAGCACTGTTTTGCACAAAGTCAATTTTATTTGACACATAAAGTTTGTGTATAGGTCAAATGATTGCTGATAACTCTGGAGTGTCTACATGAAATAGAAGATGAACAAAATGATGTGTACTGATTGTAAATGAAATTAGAAGCATTGGCGATATTTCAGTGAGTCTGTAACGAACAATGCGTCAGTTCTTATCTGCTGCAATAAATTAGCAATCCATCAGCGAGCGCTTGGTGGCTGGCGAGGTCTGACCACACTGACTGTGGCTGCTGGCTCGCGTCTACTTACCTTCTTTCACTCTTCTTCGAAGTTGGCTTCAAAGTGAAAGATTTATTTGTCTTCACTTCTTATCGGCACTTATCTGCGAACTGGTGCACCACTACCACCACTGCTGTTGATTCATGTTTGCCTGCCAACTGCTCATCTGCACATACATACACACACACTAATAAATGACCCCGGCAATGTGTAGCTTCCTGCGCCGTGAATCTCTCTATTACCAAGCATTGAGCACTTTCTGCTCCAAACCTGCGCCTGGTTTCACTGGCTCACCAAGTGTACCAGCATCAACGGCAGCACTCATAATTGCAGTCACACTAATTTCTATTAGACCTTTGCTAAATTAATTTTTGTTCTTTTCACATTTTGCCCCTAAAACGGGCACAAAAACGTGAAGTGGTCATTATACAATACGGGCTGTGCTGTTGTTGTTGACGCTGTTTATTTATGCCGTTGATGATACTGCCGCCAGTGATGGACAACACTGACTGGACACAGAGAGTGCTTCTGTCGGTGTCGGTGAACCAGTAGTGATGCAGTCTGCTCTCCCACCGGTGCAAGTTGTTTCTGACCAGTGGGCAGTGAGCAGTGTGTTGCCCTGTCTATCCGTCTCATCCATTGTACCTCAGCTGAAAAGAGTGTGCACTTGCAATTAGCGCGCGCTCTATAATTGCAATCACAGCATCGATCACGAAGAGCTCTTCGTGTGCTGCTGTCACTCAGTCCGGTCCACCTTCTTCTTTGCAACTTCTTTTTAGTCAGCGCACACACGTCGACACCTAATGCAGAGTGCACTAATTCAATTACACAGTTTCAATTCACTGTTGTCCTGTAGGCAAAAACTTCTCAAAGGACTATTTGAGCCATTATCAACTGACACCGTTACTGGACTCAAAGTGCACCAGGACCACCACAAAAACGAGGAACAAGACAACAACAAATTGCCCGATCAATTAAGTGGTGCTCGTCAGCGTTCCACTGTTGATACTGCTGCTGTTGCTGAAAAGCTTTTGCCTGGATGGCTGGGTTGTGTCAGCGATGCTTGGCAATTGTTTTTATGGGCTCTGGGGATGCCATCTAATTGCCATTTGATTGCCCTCTTGATTGACGTTTATGGCATTGAAAATTGCGGTAATTCGCAGTGCAAGGTGCAAATGTAAATAAACTCAGCAGCCGAGTAAATGGCGAGGTCATTAGGAGGAGCACGTCGGCACCCAAAGGATGCACTCTCCTCGGCGCAACGCTCCTCAGATCAGGCTTCGGTGCCAGATCAGCATTCATTGCGCACAAACGGCCTTTATGGTTCTTTCACGTAATCGAGAAAAGAACATAAACGCCACGCGGTCCACTGCACTTCATTAGACAGGTCCTCTGCCTGTGCTGTTTATGGGAACAATCAGCCAGCAATTGCTGGCCAGCTACACTCACTTTATTTTGGCGTCACATTTTCGCATATGTCGCCTGCTCTACAATGGACATGCTGTCGGTGTTTTATCAAAGGCCACACTCAATGGTGATAAATTTCATTTTAAAGGCAGTCAGTCTGTATTTGTTAGTTGGCAGTTTATCAGTGTAAAGACATGTTGTGAAGACATTGCAGCCAACCGTTTGACGCCTTTGAAAATTTATATTCATGGCAAGTGTTCATTGCCTGGTCCATGGAATTGTGTGTCTGTCTATCCGCAGCTAATGCTTGTCGTACTCAAACGAATTTAGTTAAAAGGAAAAAGGAAAGCATGCCTTGTCCGACACAGACAGCTTAGCCAGGCTGTCAGTTTCCGCCGACTGCCAAAAAAGCGACTGCATATTTTTAATGCTCATCATATGAAAATATCGTTCTGTTCTTTTTTTCTGCAAGCGTCATAATGATCATATGAATTGTGAAGAGTGGTTGCAGTGGGCACCTCACACATAAGGACAGACAGCAGTGTTGACCACGGTCAGGTGATGGTGTCCAGCGCAGTGACTCCTTGCCCATTAGCGTTGATTACTGCTGCTGTTGTTGTTGCTGCTGATGCCCACGTCAGTGGTGCGTTTGAGCAAATGTTTGCCCGTTACCGACAGTCATCAGCAGCGCGACAATTAGCAGGATATTTGTGAGGATTAAAAAGGTGCCATCACCGTGCCTTTGACTTATGCTAATCAATATTTCATTCACCCTCTCAATGGGTATCACGATATTTTAATCGCTTTATTTTAGCAGTAAATCAAATGAATTCCAATTACTGGCCAGTGACAGTGCCACCAGACGAGACACTTCATACCTGTGCTGGTGCAAGTAATGCGATAATTTGACACTTTATGCATGTGCTGGCACTGGCCTTCTCATTCTACGATGTAGGTTTTGTTTTTGTTTGCTGCCGGCACTTGATTGCTACCTCATCTCCTCATTGCAGAATCCTGCATTTTAATCATTGCTTCAAACTGGTCTGCCATGTAAATGACTGTGTGATGTTTTCCACTCAATTTCGTGGTTCCCATCTCCCAGCGCTTGTCAGTGCCTTCAGTGAGACTGTCCGACTGTTTGTCAGTGGTTCCCTATTTCTCTTACCTACTCTACTCTCTGTTTTGACCATCGTCAAAACTGAAGTGTCTATTATNTCCAGCGCTTGTCAGTGCCTTCAGTGAGACTGTCCGACTGTTTGTCAGTGGTTCCCTATTTCTCTTGCCTACTCTACTCTCTGTTTTGACCATCGTCAAAACTGAATTGTCTATTATAAAGTGAGCTCACTTCAACACACTTGCACAAGTATGTTCCGTTGCACGATGACGACGACGACGGCGGCGACAACAGCGAGGACGAGGCCGGCTGGCATCTGGCAGGGCCGAACATTGAATGGCTGGCACAAGCACACTGATCAGAGGGCATATAGGCAAAAGCAGAGCGAATATCTGCATATGAGGCACACTAGTTGTGACTAGCTGCGCACACTTCAACACAGAGAAAGAGAGAAATCGAAAACGGAGCAGTCATCTCAGACGAACTGTGCCATAGTTTACTCTCAAATTAATTTGCTTGTCTGCTAGATCATCTACTGAAGGAAGGAGAAAGAGAAGACATAGATCAGATGATCAGTTGACGATGAAAGAATAGGCCGATTGTTTGTTATATTTTAATTTATCTTCTCTCTTTTCATTATCCACCATTCAGTTTGGTTTATAATAATAGAAGCCCATTGAAGTGCAGCAGCATCGGGTCAGTCAAGATGAATTCGCTTGTCAGAGGCTGGTGGTGGGCTTGTGTGCGGTTGGTGATCTGCCCTGATAGCGCCACACTGCCATCAACATGCTATTCTGTAAAGTTAGTACCACTCACTCAGATAACTGGCGCTCCACAAAGATCTTTCTAAATTGAGCTCTTATCAATTTCATCTAGCTAATTTGCACATACACATTTTGGCACACAGCTGACACACTGTGATAGGCGACGCCTATTGCCCTTTGCTATGCTATAACTTGGTTTAGTTAACTTCAGAATGACTACCCAGAAACAGTGCCATTGCCATTCCAAATATTTGGAGTGTTAGCTAGCGTTGGCACCATTGTTGCAGCACCTTGAGCACCCTCGTCAGCAGCGCCTCTCGTCTTTCTTCTGTTGCTGCCTAGACTGCCATTTTCTCATGGGCGAAGCAGAAAAACAACAGACTCAAATCTTCATGCTTGGCGGCAAGCGGTGATTGTTGCACTTTCACAAGTGCCTCGTCCTTCTTCAGAGGAAATCGAGTGCCTCGCTTCTCTAGTTCTTTCAGTGTGTACCTGTGTGTGTGCATGTGCTGTTTCATTTGGTCGCTGGTTAAGACTCAATTATTTGAGTGAGCCATTCATCATAGGGGCAAGAGCGATGTAGCCTCACGACGTTTGGGCCATTGCATGCCCGCCTCTTCGGTCTTCTTCGATTGTAGTCTTCCTAGGTGATGGCGAGGAGAAGAACAGGTCAGAAGGCTCCAGCAGAGCAGCAATGATGATGATGATGTTCTTATGAAGATGTTCACCAGCAGCACACACTGCACTGAACTGCCTAGAGAGGCCAAGAGGCCCCGTTCTGTTTTCCGCCAGCTAGAATGTGCACACCTGCAAAGAGTGCTAGGCAGTTCGACAGGCAAATTAAGAAGTTAAGCAAATTTTTGTAAAATATGGCACTATTTAACAAAACAGCAAAGAGTACTACACTATTGCTTTTTATAGAGATGTAGGGAGAGTAAGAAAGAAAGAGGTACTTTGAAGTAGCAAATTG